GATATATTGATATATTGACATATATATATATGTATGTATTTACTTTTGTGTGTATGTGTCTGTGCCTATGCCTGTGTGTTTGTATCTGTGCCTGTATTAGCGTATGTATGCCTGTGTGTGTATGTGTGTGCCTTTGTGTGCATGTGTGTGTAATTATTTGTTGTGTGTGTGTGTGTGTGTGTGTGTGTGTGTGTGTGTATGTGTGTGCGTAGACATGCGTATGCTCGTGTATAGTTGTGGAATCTATGTCGAGAGTTTGTGAACTGATGAGAAATATCAGACATGTCACTGAATTTTGCCTTCTGCACGTAAATTATCACACAAAGTTATCGAATCATCGGGGGCACCGCTTAACTAATGCACTGAGACAGTCTATCTTAACGTTTGCACCCAATGTAATAACATACCGATTTCCTCAGCGAACTACGTTGTTTGGTCATACTCTCATCGACCTGCATGCCCTTGTCCAGCCTTTCCGTTTCGTTATCACTATCTTCTGAGTCTACAAATCCATCACGAGCATCTAACCCCTGGGCGTCATCGTCTTCACCCATACCTGTTTCTGGCTCGGCGGTGAGCAACGACGCCATTCTCTCGGCTAACGTTTGACCCTTCATTATTTTGTATGTATATTTATAGTTTATATGTATATTTATAGGTATATAGCTATTTGTCTATGTATCCTCTTGCGTATGTTGAGTGTGTGTGTATGTCCCTATATACTGTGTCGGTCGTGTGCTCGATGGTGTACTAGTAACTTATGCCGCTTGTACGGTTACGACTACGGAGGTCCCTATTATGACTACGTTCACAAATACTTTATCAGTATGTGCACGTGCAGTTGTCATCACTTTTTATCAACACAGACTCACAGGCCTGTAGTAAACGCTGAACGTAAACGTAGAAACGTTGAATTTTATAATACGTAAAAGGTAAAAAATGATAAACGGCGTTCTCGAGAAAAATTTATTAACCCCATCCATAGACTAAGGGGGCTCGATTTTAAAGAACCAAACCTAATTTACTATATCCGGTTTTAGATACAATCCCAGTTTTGTTTTCTAGACTTTTTCTAAAAACATTTCAAAGAATTTTGCGAAGGAGCCAAGTTGATAGCTACTGGTTCATACAGTTATGTATCGATTTATCAACAGGATTAGGCACTTTTCGACTATGTCAAATCTTGGATTTCCGGGTCGAGTATTAGCAGTTTGAACCTTCTAAGGGTTCTAATATATAATAAATACAAGTATTATTGGTTCAGAAATCATCTTTGTGGCATAGAAGGCTTATTATGTTTGCTCAAAATCACCTTTTAGGTGCATGCGTGTCCATCAATGACATCCATTTGGTGTGCATATTCAATTTTATGTCTCCAATATGATTTTCAGACATTCGTTATATCGATAGAAGCATAATTAAACCATAATAATGTTATTGTAATCGCTTGTAGGTGAATAAGTAGTGAATTTTGGCAAAAAAAAAAATAGGAAATGAGATTCATCGTGCAATCGATGGCATGGCACATCAAATGACGTAAACACACTTTTTCTCGATTTTAGCAGCTGTAGCTTGCATTACGGTTATAAGAATGCATATATGATATTGTTTTGACAATAATTGTACGTGACAACTTTGAAACTTTACTAATTATGCATATTTAGACCCAATAATCGCGTTTTGGAGGTTTCCGATGTAGTGTTAGACTCCTAAGCATAGAAGGTGTTCTACATGTACTACGACCTTGGCGCCTTCACAGATCATTTACGAAATACTTAATCTTGAAATATGCCAAAAAAAATTATTGGGAATAAATTGAAGCCCAGATTTAGTAAATCAGGAACGCTTCTTTATTTTTGGCCCTATTTTATCCCCTGAGTGCATGGACGGGGTGTTAAAAAAAACACAATTAATTTTAAAACGTTTTAACGAGAAACAGACGTTAGGGTAGCTCAAGTTTTAGGGAGAGTCTCATCAAAGAGGTAAAAGTTGTGTATGTTGTATTTACATAACTAAAAATAACAATTTAGAAGGCTAAGTTAGTAGTAAGTTTGTATTTACTATGTTTGTCTGTGGTAAAACGAGGCGACTTACCATCAAAAAATAGTAGTAAATACATATGTAGGCTATGTGCAGTTTTTAGTCACTTGAACCGATAAATTCGTATCCTCAATTTAAACCTACTGACGATAGTAAGAGGGTGTATCGAGCAACTATGAGACATTGACGAAAATGTTGTTGCTGGAACTGCCCAATGGAGCAGCTACCAAAACACCATAGTCGAACGTCAATCCTGCTCCAAAACCACTCCAGCTTTAGCCGAAGAGCTGGGTATAGAACAGCGTCCACTGTGTGCGAGTCGTTCAAAAAGGAACTGTAGTACTCTTGACCCCATCAATATGCCTTAGACGACGCAATGCACATTTGTGTGGCACTTCTAAGTGAAAGTGCAATTCAATATGTGTAAAAGAAGGAGCATCTCCTTTTTCGTTCATTCTTGTTGTCATTCTTTATATGTATATATATATATATGCGTGTGTGTGTGTACACGTGTGTGTGTGTGTATACATGTGTGCATGTGTGTGT